TTTTCGGTGCCCACGACCGTCCGTATAATAGCCGGTAAATGTGGGGGTGGTTTGAATTCAAGGTGCCCAATTGCCCTGTCTAGGCTTATCGCTGGACGAATGTGGAAAAAATGCTTTTGGGTGTCCACACAGTCCTGCTGTATTGTAGCCGGCGAAAGTGGAAAAACGGATGGTATTGTAGCATGCATGTATATATATACACAATGCATTGTTGAAGCTTCCTCTCTTTCTCTTTCTCTCTCTCTCTTCATTCTAAATAGTCATTTTCCCTCAATTCTAAGAGCATAATGAGCTCTTTTTCCCTATATTAACATGCAAACAACCATGTGGCAAAGTTGCCACCGAAATTTGCAATTATATATATATATATATATATAATTGTGTATTTGTGTGGGTTGCTTAAAATTGATACACTAAGATTTTTAACTAAGGTATTTTGTAAAAATAATTATCATGTTGAATCCTAATTAAAATAATTTATAAACAATAGATATTGAACACCCACAAAATTATTATTTTTTATAATGTCTTGTTAGTGATTGAATTGAGTCAATTTAAAACTAACTTTTACACTAATATATAATTCAGATAGACTGTAGACAAAATTAATTAATTAATTTATTTATTTATTTTCTTTAAGGAATAATTAAAGATGGGTTTTCACACGTAAGGAGTTTTGTGAGAACTCCAAAATTTTATAATAAATTTGTGATTTTATCAAATTAAAAAATAAATTTAAAATTGTGTTGGGATTACAATTATATTCTAATCCTAACATTATTTACACTGTGCCTCCAGGCACAAGCATACGCTAGTGTATATAAAAGTAGGATGATTTTTAAATTTGTCTTACACACATTTGTCCGACTAGGACATTTAGACGGCTCATATCTATTGAAATTATAAAACAATGGCTGAGATATATTTTTCAAAAAATATCCTACATGTACATTTTCTATTTTCCCGCTTCTCTCTCTTACTTTTTTCTTTACTCACCCATCTTTTTATGATCTCATGATCCCATCTTTGTCCTATATAATAAAGTATGATGGTTTTTCTCTCTATTTGTTTTTTTTTTTGGGTTTGGTTATGGTGTGCAACTTACACCTTACACCTTATACCTTACACTTACACCTTACACTTACACCTTTTGTAAAAAATTAAACCTTACACTTACACCTTTTTTGAGGTTGCACACCATGTGCAACCCACTTACACCTTACACCTTGCACTTACACCTTACACTTACACCTTATACTTATACTTACACCTTACACTTACACTTTTTGTGTAAGTGGCACATGGTGTGCACTTGCACACTTAAGAAAACTCCATAAAATAAATAAATGATTCAACTAATTACAATCACATTAAAAAAAAAGAATCATTCAACTAATTATAATCACATTTTTTCTTTGTAAGGGTTTATATTTATCTAACTTCAATCATATTAAGAAATCAAATTATAATTTTTTATTCACTAGATAAATCACAAATATTTTTATACACTATCTAACTATAATATTAAAATAGTAAACAAAAGGAAAAGTCAATAAGAAGAAAATAAAAAGAAGACTTACCGTTTGCATATGTGGTCATTGAAGTTGAAAATGTAGAAGTGAGAAGTCAATAAGGAGAAAACAAAAAGGAGACTTACTGTTTGCACTAGGTATTTGAAAAGTTAAAAAGAGTGTGTGTATTGGAGAAGTTAAAAAGACTTAGAATAATTTAATAAGTGCTAAGTTTTTTTTTTCAAAAAAAATCAAAAAAATTAAGAAATTAAGGTTCAGATATTGGAACTCCTACAAAACTTGTGGGTTAGAGATAGATATAAATAAATAGATAGATATAGATATAGATATAGATATTTATATTTGTTTTAAATTTTTTTTAATATACAAATTATTTGTTTTATAAAAGGTACTGCAGTAATTATCAGAGAAGTCAAAAAGCCTTGTGAGTTGAGAGAAGTTAATAAATGCTGAGATTAATTTTTTTTTAAGAAAAAATAAAAAATTAAAAAATTAAGATTGACATATTAAAACTCCCATAAATCTTGAGAGTTAAAAATCTCATTTTACTTAATATATAGTATACATTTCTATTTCACTTAAATATATCTCAACCCCTAAACTAAAGCTTTTTTACCGATTCGAGTTTAAATGACCCTTGGACTAGGCTTCGATCTATGGTTTCAAACTCAGTTTGGTCTATGAGCCCATCTTGTTGGCCCACAATAGGTGGCTCGACCCATGAGCCTATTAGGAAATATGGATAAATATGTATGTATGTGGGGGAAGAAAAAAAAGGAGAAATTTTAATATACACATGCATCTTTAATTATATTTTTTTTAGTTATGATTAATTTTATTTTCTAGTTATGACATTATTTTAATTATGATTCATAAGATCTTTAATTATAATTCATATTGTGTTTAGTTAAAATATTTTTTTATATTTTTAATTATAACTCAAAAAATATGAAATTATATCATTTTTTTTTTAATAATTATACATATATGTGTACCATAGTGTTTCCAAAAAAAAAAATATAGGCCTTATTTGGACCACATTCATTGGGTAGGGCTTGGGCCTAAATATTTGGCTCACACACCGATTCAGTCCAAATTGATCAAGAAAAAGGAAAACTTACTAATAAGTCTCGTATACAAAATATAAAATTTATTTAGTCCCATAATAAAACATTTACACCAATTACTTCTATATATTTGTAATTGTTATCAAGAAAAAAATCATTTTAAAAAATTTTAAAGACGTCATTATATTCCACCACTGCCGAACTTCCATCAAACAATCATTGGAGAATCGCCAAAATTTTAATATCACTGGGAAGTCACCAAAATATCACTGAAAATTCGCTGAATTATCGCCGAAATGTTTTAAACATCACCGAAAGTTGTCGGAATAACCAAAATGTTTGTTGGATGTCAAGAATATCGACAGTCACTCACTGAAATGTCTAGAATATTACTGGGAAAAAAAAAAAGAATTAACTAAGAAATTAAAGTGAGAAAATATAGCAAAATGTGCTAAATATTGATAAACTGAAAGAAGAAGAAGAAGAAGAAGAAGAAAAAAAAAACTGAGAATAACAAACAACAACAATAGAATAAAGCATATGTTACTTTCATTTTTTGTATGGTTTAAGCAAATAATTTCTAATATTAATCAAACTAAAAGGTAAGTTTTGAAACTGTAAAATGTTACAGTTTCAAAATATGATTCTATTAAGTATTTATCCTTATTCATCAAACTAAAAAATATGTTGTGGAACTGTAAATTTTTACAGTTCTAAAACATGTTAAGAAACTGCAAACTTTTACAATTTTAAAGTATGGTTCATTTCAACACCAAAAAAACTGAAATTGGAAAATTTTATAATTTTCACCACATGTAACTAAAACTCGAGAACAACTTGTTTAAAATTTAAAAATTTTCTCCATTAAAACAAAAAAAAGAAAAGTATGTAGCAGAGAAAAAATAGAAAAAAATGAGAGATCTAATGAGAGAGACAGATATAAAGAGAGGATTGTACTTCGGCAATTATTTTTGATTTAGATCTAGTCAGATCTGATATAAATCTACTCATCTTCCTCGCTGAAAACTCATCTCTTTCTCTGTCGGTGTCGATAGTAGTCGCTAGTGACTTTATATCAACAAGCAAATGAGAAGAGGGAAGGCGTGGTCGTCGTTGGTCGTTAGATATCAGAAAAAGAAAGAGAAAGAGAAGAATGAAACGCAAAGAAAGAGAATAAGAAAAATGTAGAGAAAAAGAAGAAAAAGATGGCAATGAAGGTGCAAAGAAAGAGGAGAAAAATACGCACAGGACTTTTGACAATACACAAAAAATTATGGGACTAAATAGAGTTCTCCTCCTTGAGATAGGATTTGCTGGTAATTTGCCCTAAAAATAATAATAATTAAATTATAAATTAAAAAAAAAAACAAAAGAGCAACTATTTCAATTATCTAATTGTGATATCAAAGTCTAAATTTTAGCCCATTAAGCAAAGTCAACCTGGAACGATAAACCCATCAAATTAAATTCATTTAAAACTCATTTATATCCATCTAAAATTATAAACAAATTTAGATAGATTCCATTTTATAAACCTGATGAAAATTGAATTAAAATATATTTGATATAGGTATTTAAACTCATATAAACAGGTATCGCCTCCACCATCACCACCACGCAGGCATTCCACCACCAACGCAACCGTTGCTACTCCACCGCCACCAATTGACCACCACCACTACTACAACCTAAGCCTGCCCATTTGCCAACTCTACCTATTACTTCTTTTGTTCTTTTTTTTTTCAATTTTTCTTTTTATCTCTTTTGGGTCATAATTTTCAGCCAATTATTTGTTTTAGAATAAAATATACGGTTAATTTACCTTTTTCGTACAAAATAAATAAATACGGCACAAAATAAGTATATGGACTTACACTTCTGCATTTATGAAAGAGAAAATACATCCATGATGCTTAATCAAACAGGTACATTTCACCAATCTAGAAGCTTTAGAACAAGTAATGCTCAATAATGTGTTCAATGACAAACCTTAAGACACTGTATAAATTACATTTACATGATTTATAAATTTTAAAAAATATATTGAAAATCAAAAACCACTCCTGTCTCCGATTATTCAAATCTTCCAACAATTTTCGTTCCTTCCATAATCCCCGAGCAATCATCAATGGTAAACTAAGACTGAAAAGTGGTGTCGAGGGAGAACAGTTCTCCTCTCATACCGTTCTTTTTCAACCCCAATAAATCAAGATTTCTACTAATTTTCTCTTTATTTGTTGTGAATTAGATAAGCCAGGCCAAGTAGGTTTTAGCTTGGCATGGGCTTGTTCTCTAAAAATGATCTGAAAAGAATAAAAGCTTGTCGAGGGCGATGAAGGGGAACCTCATGTCCTGCTCCGGTTACTGTCACAAGAGTCAGTCCTTTGTATATTTGGCTCCAGCCACCAACCTATGTAATGAAAACAAGAAGAAGAAATGATGTGATGTGATGTGATGAATAGATGACTATTCCATCAGTTTCGATTAATAACACAGCTTAAGGACAGAAAAGTTGCAACAATTTTCTCATTATGTTATGAAACTGGGGAGAAAATAGCAAGAATTGGCAACAGAAATAGGAAATTATCCAGTGAGTCCTGTAACAACCCGACCCTCATATATGCTTGTGATATAAGTTCGTTCTTTATTCTGTACTGTTAAATGACTAAGATGAAGCTATAAACAAAAATAAGTTCAAGTAACTATGTTGTAATGCTTTGTAGAATGAATTGTATCTGTTAGGAAAGAAATGTATCTGTTACAATTCGAACGATAAAGTAGAAATTGAGGGCCTTAGCGGCTTAATAAGTCAAAATTGATCATATATTTGGAACCAGCATAATTTTTAGGTAATATTAAGCACTTCTGTGAAATGTCAATTTTCGGATGTGTAAACGATTGATTTTCGTCTCATTCTCTCTTTATAGAAATATATATGTGTGTTCTTGGTCATTTGACAAGCCAAGGAATTCATAACTCTAAACTTAAGAGTTGAAGGGTAGAGAGAGAAGGTCCTCAAGAAGGTTGAGATTTGGGCTTAAGGTATGTAAATGTTTGTCTAATTTTCATCCACAACCCTTCTTGTCATAATTTATGTGAAGATGTTTCTATAATCATGTACCTAAGAGTTGGGATTGTGGTGTTGTGAGTATGAGAAGTAAATTAGCAAAATGACCTTAATTGCATGTTTTGACTCAATTTGAAGTACCTATGAGAGGCCTTACTCTATTTCTTCAATTGACTTGTTTGAATTCAAGTAAGTGGCATGATTTTATGTTTATGTATTGAGATGTGAGAACAAGTAGGAACCTTATGAATTGGAGTGAATTTAAGTTGTGGATTCATGATTTGATTTTTACTCAAATGAAACATGTAATTTGATCCTTGTTCACATGTATTCATATGCTTTGAGCTTATATATTAGTAATTTAAAGCTAGATATTTGAGGCCCTAAACATGTCTACAAGAGGAGGAAATTGTGCAGAATTTTCGGACTTTTGGTGCAGAATCGCCACACGTGCGGGGCCTAAGGCCGCACGTGCGGGAAAATGGCAAATTTTGGAGTTCAACACTGCAAAAAAAGCACGTGCGGGGCCTCAATGCCGCACGTGCAGGAGGTGTGCCACACGTGCGGGAGATCCTAGCCGCACGTGCGGCTCAAGTCAGAAAAGTTGGGATGCTCCGTTTTGCGTGTTGGGTCCTCTAATGTTGTCAAAACCTGCAATTTATATTGTTTGAATGTTCGTTAATTCAATCAAAGTGAGTGAACCGAATGTTGATTTAACAAGGATAAAGGGACTAATGTGATTTTTCATGTGTGTAGGAAACGCCTCAAGAGGAAGCGCACCGACACAACACAGTGAGTAATAGTACTTCAATGTACCTCTACTCAGTACTTATTATTATTGACGTTGTGACCCTTATTGAAAGTATTATCATATTATGTATTGACGTTATATCTTGACGTTACGAACTTCACTATCAAACTTGTGTTGGCATGAAATGATATATTTTGATGTACTTGTCCTATGAAATGTTTATGATCCTGGCATGACTTAGTAGCTCAATGGATGTCATATTTTCTGGTTTATATCACTCACGTTTTACAGCTTCCGGTCAGGCCCCTCTATGGAACCAGGTTAAGTGTCCTTTTCTGTTAGGTCATGCCCAAACTTTTAGGGGCAAGTTAGGGGCGTGACAAGTGGTATCAGAGCACGAGTTGCTATCTCACACACTGATCCATTGAGCCTTAGGATGTCTAGAAAAGACTTAAGTATCATGCATGGCATCCTAAAGATGTATGAAAGATCGATGGCAACGTAGAATGTACTCTGCTAACGCTAATAATTTGAACTTTGTTTGCCGGATATAATTGAATGTTATGCAGGTTATGGTTAGAACAAGGATGGAAGATTCGGACGAGGCTACCTCGGTACGGTTGGACCGAATGGAAAGAATGATTATGGACATGGCGGAGACCCTAAGGCAACAACAGCAGCAACCGCCACCACCACCGGTACCTCCACCTGCAGTACAAGATGTCCATATTGAGGACCGAACCATCACACTCACAAAGGAGTTTAAAAAGATGAACCACCGTCATTTAAGGGGGGAATAGAACCTATGAAAGCTGAAGCATGGGTGCTGGGAATAGAGAAATTGTTCGAAGTATTTCCATGTACTGAAGCCCAGAAAGTGCAACTTGCCGCCTTTACTCTTGAAGATGAGGCACGAAGATGGTGGATGCTTACAAGAACAGTGCATCGGGACTTAACATGGGGTAGATTTCTGGAGTTGTTCTATGATAAGTATTTTCCTCAAAGCATGCGAGATAAGAAGGTGACGGAATTTGAGACTCTTAAACAAGGAAATAAGACTGTTGCAGAATATGAGGCCCAATTTGCTGAATTAGCTCGGTTTGCCCCTCATATGGTAGATACAGACTATAAGAAGGCACGAAAATTTGAAGGGGGATTACGGGGTGCCATTTTAGACCGGGTCAATATGCTAAAATTACCCACGTATGTTGAGGTGCTAGAAAGGGCTGTTATCGCAGAAGGAAATCTTGCGGCCCAGAATCGGATTTCCGAGTGGAAAGGGAAGAGACAAAACAACCAATGGTCAAAGAGCTCCGTTACTCCACCCGCTAAGAAGCACAATTCAGGGAACTTCAACACCACTACTTCTACTCAAAATTCCACTCCGGTGTGTTCAGACTGTGGAAGGCAACATCGAGGAACTTGTCACTGGAAGACTGGATCATGTTTTAAATGTGGAAAAACGGGACACTTGGTAAGGGATTGCCCACAGTGGGCTCAACAAAAGGGCAATAGATCCACTACAAGTTCCGTGGGGTCTACACTAACCCCCAATGCGAAGGCGGCTGCCAAACCGAGTAATAACAAGGACACTGCAAGACAAGGTAGGGTGTTCGCTTTGATTCCTGGTGATGTACAAAATACAGCAACAGTGGTGTCAGGTACATTTACTATTTGTGGTCAATCTGCGCATGTATTGTTTGATTCTGGCTCCACTCACTCATTTGTGTCGAAATTCTTCGCTCCTAATTTAGATAAAACTGAAGAAAACTTATCTTGCATGTTGTGTGTGTCCTCCCCTTTGGGAGAGTCTATGATTTGTGCTACTATATACTTAGCTTGTGAACTTTAACTTGGGGATATTTGGGTGTATGCTAATTTAGTGCCTCTCGATATGACCTATTTTGATGTTATTTTGGGAATGGATTGGCTAAGTTCTTATGGTGCAACTATAAACTGTGTGACTAAGCAAATTAATTTCTATCCTCCGGGACAATCAGAGTCTATGGTCCAAGGGCGGGAAGTGATTTCGCCACCTTATCTGATATCTGCCGTGAAGGCTTGCAACTTAATACGAAAAGGCTGTCAGGGGTATTTATGTAGTGTTTTGGAAGAACAAGGGATGAATGGGAATATTGATGTGATCCCAGTGGTCCGTGAATTTTCGAATGTTTTTCCCGAAGAATTGTCGGGCCAACTGATTGACCGAGAAATCGAGTTTATAATAGAAGTGGCGCTTGGAACCCAACCCATTTCGAAGACACCCTATAGGATGTCACCAGCTGAAATGAAAGAGTTGAAGATTCAATTACAGGATCTGCTTGACAAGGGATTTATCCGCCCGAGTGTATCTCCTTGGGGTGCCGCCAATATTGTTTGTGAAAAAGAAGGACGGAACACTTAGGTTATGTATCGACTACAGGGAACTGAACAAGGTGACAATTAAAAATAAGTACCCCTTACCACGGATAGATGACCTATTTGATCAGTTGCAAGGGGCACAAGTTTTCTCAAAAATTGATTTACGGTCTGGCTACCATCAATTGAAAGTTAAAGCCGATGATGTGGAGAAGACAGCTTTTCGAACCCGGTACGGCCATTATGAATTTTTGGTTATGCCCTTCGGAGTTACAAACGCACCAGCAGCATTTATGGATCTAATGAATCGCATCTTCAAGCCCTATCTAGACGAGTTTGTGGTGGTTTTTATTGATGACATTCTTATATACTCGAAGAGTGCAGAAGTTCATGAGGATCATCTTCGCCTAATTCTTCAAACACTCCGGGAGAAGAAACTGTATGCAAAGTTAAAGAAATGTGAATTCTGGCTACAAGAAGTGGCATTTTTGGGGCATGTAGTGACAAAGGAAGGAATCTCTGTTGATCCACACAAAGTTGAAGCAATTGTGAATTGGCCAACTCCCACTAATGTAACTGAGATGCGGAGTTTCATGGGGTTAGCTGGATATTACAGGAGGTTTGTTCAAAATTTCTCCAAAATCGCTATGCCACTTACCCAGCTGACACGAAAAGGAGTTGCATTCGAATGGTCAGAGGAGCGAGAATCTGTTTTCCAAGAATTAAAAACAAGATTGACGACAGCACCAGTTCTGGCTTTGCCATCTGGTACCGAAGGATTCGTAATTTACAGTGATGCTTCACACAAGGGGCTTGGTTGTGTGCTAATGCAGAATGGAAGGGTGATTGCCTATGCTTCTCGACAACTGAAACCCCACGAGAAGAATTATCCTATACACGATCTCGAATTAGCGGCAGTAGTTTTTGCTTTGAAAATATGGCGGCACTATCTTTATGGTACGACCTGTGAAGTTTATACTGATCATAAAAGCCTCAAGTACCTGTTTACCCAGAAAGAGTTGAACATGCGACAACGGCGATGGCTTGAATTGATTAAGGATTATGACTTGCAGATCCAATATCATCCTGGTAAAGCTAACATGGTGGCAGATGCACTTAGTCGGAAGAATATGGGGGACTTGGCGAATTTGTTGGTAGAAAGAAAGGAGTTGAGGATCGAACTGGATAAAATGAATATGGACCTAGTAGTACGTGAACAGGAGGCCATACTAGCAGCAGTAAGAGCTCAACCCACCTTGCTGGAGGAGATTAAATTACATCAACTGGAAGATAAGATTTTAAGAAAAATTTATGGAGAGTTAGAGGCAAAACCAAAATCGGGATTCAGTTACGTAGATTCGATATTAAAGTTTCAAGGTCGAATATGTGTCTCCAATGTGTTGGAGCTTAAACGGAAATTACTAAGAGAAGCACATGCCTCGAGATTATCAATACACCCGGGAAGCACTAAAATGTACCGAGACTTAAAACAAAACTTTTGGTGGCCAAATATGAAAAAAGAGATCGCGGAATTTGTTTCTAAGTGTCTACAATGTCAACAAGTCAAAGCGGAACATCAAAGACCAGCAGGATTATTACAACCCCTTCTAATCCCGGAATGGAAATGGGAGCATTTAACCATGGACTTTGTTGTGGGGTTACCGAGGACTCCTCGAGGTATGAATTCGATTTGGGTCATTGTGGACCGATTAACCAAGTCTGCTCACTTCTTGCCTGTGAAGACTCAATATAATGCGGATAAGCTGGCAGTGCTGTATATAAATGAAATTGTAAGGCTTCATGGTGTTCCAGTGTCAATTGTGTCAGATAGGGACCCCAAATTTGTTTCAAGATTTTGGCAAAGCTTACAGGAGGCTATGGGTACCAAACTTACGTTCAACACCGCTTTCCACCCTCAAACTGATGGTCAATCCGAGAGAACCATACAAACTTTAGAAGATATGCTCCGATTGTGCGTATTGGATTTTCAAGGAAGTTGGGAAACCCATCTACCGTTGATCGAGTTCGCCTACAATAACAGTTATCATTCGAGCATTGAGATGGCGCCTTATGAAGCTCTATACGGAAGACCGTGTCGTTCCCCTGTATGTTGGGCTGAAGTTGGGGATAGGGCATTGTTGGGTCCTGAAATTGTGCAATCAACAACTGAAAAGGTCAAAATTATCCGGGAGAGGCTGAAAACAGCACAAAGCAGGCAGAAGAGCTATGCAGATAACAGACGAAGGGATTTGGAATTTGAAGTGGGTAGTTATGTGTTCGTGAAAGTCACCCCGTTAAAGGGACATCCGAGATTTGGGGAAAAGGGTAAATTAACACCCCGGTATGTTGGCCCTTTCCAAATTCTAGAAAGAGTGGGTCTGGTGGCTTACCGAGTGGCTCTTCCGCCGAGTATGAGTCAAGTACATAATGTGTTCCATGTTTCCATGCTTCGAGGATACCTATCAGATCCATCTCATGTTATAGACTACCATCAACTTGTGTTAGATGATAAATTAAGCTATGAAGAAAGACCACTTCGAATTTTGGAGCGACAAGTAAAGCAATTACGCAATCGGGAAATTCCAATGGTAAAGGTAGAGTGGCAAGAACATTATGGCACTGAAGCTACTTGGGAAAAAGAAGAGGATATGCAGCAACAGTATCCATATCTATTTCTGTTTTTAGATAAAAGCAAGTTTGAGGGACCAAACTTTTTTTTAAGGGGGGGAGAGTGTAACAACCCGACCCTCATATATGCTTGTGATATAAGTTCGTTCTTTATTCTGTACTGTTAAATGACTAAGATGAAGCTATACACGAAAATAAGTTCAAGTAACTATGTTGTAATGCTTTGTAGAATGAATTGTATCTATTAGGAAAGAAATGTATCTGTTACAATTCGAACGATAAAGTAGAAATTGAGGGCCTTAGCGGCTTAATAAGTCAAAATTGATCATATATTTGGAACCAGCATAATTTTTAGGTAATATTAAGCACTTCTGTGAAATTTCAATTTTCGGATGTGTAAACGATTGATTTTCGTCTCATTCTCTCTTTATGGGAATATATGAGTGTTCTTGGCCATTTGACAAGCGAAGGGAATATAACTCAAACTTAAGAGTTGAAGAGGTAGAGAGAAAAGGTCCTCAAGAAGGTTAAGATTTGGGCTTAAGGAAACACCTCCAAAGGAAGTGCACCGCCACAACACAGTGAGTAATAGTACTTCAATGTACCTTTACTCAGTAATTATTATTATTGATGTTGTGACCCTTGTTGAAAGTATTATCACATTATGTATTGACGTTATATCTCGACGTTACGAATTTCACTATCAAACTTGTGTTGGAATGAAATGATATATTTGCCATAAGTGATTCAATATGAAATTGTGGAAACATTGAAAAAGGTTGTGAAGTTGTACACATTTTGTGTGAAAGCTTGTGACTAATGAAATGTATTAAGGCAATTGTGAACTTGTGAATCAATGTGGCTTAGAGCCATTTGTGAATCAATGTGGCTTAGAGCCATTTGTGAACCAATGTGGCTTAGAGCCATTTGTGTGTCAATGTGGCTACGAGCCCTAATGTGAAACTTTATGACCAAGGGTCATTTGTGAATTGTGAAGCAATGTGGCCAAAGGCCATTTGTGAATGATGAAGTTATAAGGCCAAGGGCCGATGTACGAAATATGAACTTACCCCATTGTAAGCTTGTGAGCCAAAAAGAACCAAAGGTCTATGTGATGAATTGTAAATTACGAACCCAAGGACTCTTTTCTGAATGTGTGAAGTTCTTAGGCCAGGGGCCACATTGTGACGGTTATAAACCGATTACGTAGTCCCAACAAGCTGTACAGAGACAAACTGATTACATGGTTTCAACATTTATTATGTTTACAAGCATACCAGTACTATTGTTCACTGAGCTTGGCTCACCCTGTGTTATGTCTGTTTCTGTAGGTAATCAACCAGGAGGTCGATCTTAGCTCGGCATCGTCATACTTTTGTCCGCCTAGGCACAGCCAAGCTTGGGGTCGGAACCTTACTTTTGTGGAGTTGTTGATGATGACTCACACTTTTGCTATTGGCTTAAGTTGTTATGTACTTAATGATTTTGTTATATACCCCATCTCGGGGTTAGTTTTGCATATGCCTGTAAATAACTAACTCTTAAATGTATTTTGGCTTTTGATGTACTTGTCCTGTGAAATGTTTTTTTTGATCCTGGCATGACTTAGTAACTCAATGGATGTCATACTTTCTGGTTTTTATCAATTATGTTTTATAGCTTCCGGGCAGGCCCCTCTATGGAACCAAGTTAAGCGTCATTTTCTGTTTAGGTCGTGCTCAAACTTTTAGGGGCAAGTTAGGGGCGTGACAAGTCCGGTCTATAGCACACGTGGTTTGCCCTTCTAATAGTAGGTGGATGCATGACCGCGTTAATCCTATGGGCACACAGCCACATGGCAGGCCAGACATACCAAATAACTTATCGAGACAGCCCCAGCTTGTGTCAAAGGAGAAAAAATTTATGTTTGGTAATATCTTAAGACTAACCTTTCCGTTGTCATACCACGGGTACCAGTTGGTAATAGTTGGAAGCTTCAAGGCATCAATGGAGCGTCGAGTTGCAGTCAGAGGAACCACACCATCAGTGTCTCCGCTGAACAAAAAAAATAATCGTAAGAGAATTAAAAGTGTTTCTTACTTTCTCATCTAGATATTCCTTGTTACTACAAATATGAAAAATTTAGGGATTAGATTTTTTGATTTGATCAAGAAGAAAACGAATATTGGAAGCAAACCTCAAACCTTGAAGGTAGATCTAGTAAATCAACATAATTCATCAACTATACAGCAATGGTTATAAAAATTGAGATAGTCAAAAAAAGTTGATTCTACACAAGCAACGGAAGTACAGACCCGCGATGCAGGTTAGAGTCCCATAGAACCTTTGAAAGTTGCAACTAACAGTATCGTCTCTGTTGCATAACATAAGCTTTCAAATTATGGGCACTGTACATGGATTCCAATTTCCAATAACTAGAATTTACATTGCACTAAGTTAAAAAGAGGTTACAAATTAACATAAATAAGAAAAAAAGAAAATAAAAAAGAGGTTGTACCTGAATACCCATATCCTGAGGCCAGCTGCTATTAGTTCTCGGTAAATAGGAAGCATGGATAATGGAGAATCACCCCAGTTGTCGTAAACAATTTTGCTTCAAAGCAAAATAAAAACTAGTCAGTAATTCTGTTAAAGCAAACACAAAAAGTTCGGTTAAACTCCAATATGCGAAACACACCTGCATGTTTTCCATGGATAGCTAATAACACCCGACACATTGGCATGAAGTGCCTTTTGAACTTCTGGGCGATTGTAGTACACTTCTGAATATCTCTCTGTGCACGGGTCATATGCTCTCGACATCCATGGCTAAGTTTTTTAAGCAACAAAATGAGTTTAATTAAAACAAAAACCTTTAACAGTTGGTGAACATTGAACAGTTTTTGTTCTCCATAACACTAATATAACAGTTTTTGCTGCCAGACACTTTTTTTTTAAATCATGAATTATATGCATCTAAAACGAATTGAGTTCATTTGGTTGACTACTAAATGAACACTTACATAATGTCCCCTTAAGTTACGGTTCGGTGATGAAGTAATATTGCAAGTGGGCGTGAAAATGCTATACAGGTCGATGTGTCCTTGCTCCTTGTTTGCAAGCGTCAGAGCCTCTATGCAATAATTTGATGGATGCTGAGAGGATCCAAAGTCACAGGCTAATCCAAGAAGTTTGTAGGTAGAATCTGAAATCAAACCATGAGTCCACCAGTACTCAAACGTGCCAATATAATCATGGTAATCATCAGTAACAGCATTCCCCACCTAAAAGAAAGAACATTTGTTATACAAAAAAGAAAAATAAATTAGTGACTGATTCATTAATAATGAAAATTTGATGAATCATACCAAGAAACCTTTGAAATTAATAACCGGATTCTTAATTCCCTTATTTCTTTCGTAAACAAGTTGAGACAACTGGGGAACATAATGACCTGAAAAGGAGAAACAATACGTATGATTGCTCAAGATCATACTGGAACTCTGCGATATAACTGTTTACACGAAAAAAATGGAACGTAACAAAGCACCTGCATAACTTTCTCCAGCAATGTAAAAATCTCTATACTTGTATTGTGGAAACCTTTCAAACCATTCAACTAGAAATGTGTATGCATCTTCAGCTACAAATTCACAGTAGCCGGACCACAAAAAACATCATGATAAATCAGAATTCAGGAAAATTAATCAGAAACAACATTAAGAAACTATCTCATACTATCCCAGAAACTCACCATTAAATACAGATCAACAAAAACATGATGTTACAATGAAAAATTGTGGACGGTTACCTGTTTTCTGGTCACCTACATTATATAAATCTGATGTTGTATTCGAATATGAAAAACCTACACCAGCTGGTGATTCAAGGAAAAGCAAATTTGCCACTGCCGACAAATTAATAAAATGAAATCAGAAACAACCCATGATTTAGATCAAGGAGAGAATTTTGGAACTTGGAACTAAAGGTTACATACAAGTATTCCAAGCATAAGGATTTAGGTAAAGATTCTTCCCATCAGAACGAATTCGGAAAGGTCCAAGCTCTTCAGAAGCTCCATAAGCTATGGAAGAACAACCAGGCCCTCCATTGAGCCACAACACGAGTGGCCTTGACTCAGCTCGGCGACTCGCTGGAGCCTCAACCAACCAGTAAAACAATGCCCTCCCAGCTTGCTGGTTTACTGTCACATAACCAGAGTACTGAGCAAAGCCAACATCGGTTGGCTGCCCTGGCAAATTTTTGATCCTGTCTCTCTCGTGATCAGACAAAGAATAACAAATCCCCCAGAAAAGGAATGACAAGCAAAGTACGGAGAACAAGGAATTACCCATAAATCAATCAATCAATCAAAAAGAACAAAAACAAATAAGACCCAGAGACACCAATCCCAAACTATTTCTGGGTTTGCAAGGAATCTCTTAAGTGAGAGTGGTTGACTTATATAGTAGATGTGAACCAATCAATCAAAAATAAAACAGAACAAGAAAAAACAAGAAATACCAAGAAACACAAATCCCAAAGTATGCCTAACTGAGTTCCCAAGAAATTTATTTACATTACATAAATCTGAAGTTCACAGAAAGAGAGGACAGACATAGAATACAACCCACGAATCTAACAGTCAAGTAACAGAAAAATACAACCAATACCCAGAAGAGAAATCTTGGATTTTTCCTAAATGATGAGATCAGCAAACAAAAATTCTATGAATCACAAATAATATACTAAATGTTTACCAAACCTCTCTTACATGGATATAGGATCTATACAAACCCACGTGTTTGTAGTCCTACACCCATATGAAAGATTTGATAAAATATTTGATAGATTATTTAAGAATCTCTAGCATTACTCATCAACAAATAATAGTCTACATGAGAGAAGAGAAGAGAGGCATTGGACATCATATACACGTTCCCAATTTATTAGTTCAAATTTTCATGCACAATGATTGCAATTAATTGTGATTGAATTGCAACATCAACAAATAATAGTCTACATGAGAGAGAGAGAAGAGAGGCATTGGATATCATATACACGTTCCCAATTCATTAGTTCAAATTTTCATGCACAATGATTGCAATTAAAGTAATGCTAGAGACTCCAAATATTCTATCAAAAGTTTTACCAAATGTCTCACATGGGTGTGGGACCCACACAATGTGGGTCCCACACCTATGTGAGATATTTGATAAAATTTTTGGTAGAACTTTTGGTAGAATTTTTGGGGCCTCTAGCATTTTTGTTGCAATTAATTGTGATTGAATTGCAACTATAGTCTCGTAGGGTAGTGGAACATATCTTAATTAGTGTACTAACACTAATTATGATATTATTATTAATTTCATTTATTATACAAATTATAAATATTAAAAACATCTTAAATTATTATCAATTGACACACTAGTTAGTAGATGCATATAGCATTAGTCCAGTCTCGTATGTGTCTTTTGTGCTTGGTTTTCACACAAATATCAGGAATTCAGTTTTTCATGATAGTGCTATACAAATAAATTTTCCTTACAAACTGATGTGTCACCTAAAATATTAATAAATTAGGTCTCATTTTACATTATAAAATTATATCACTTCATACCACATCAGTTTATAAAAAAAAAAAAATTGTTTGTATAGCATTTTCCGTTTTTCATTGCTTCTCTCATACATTTGACCGAACAGTTGACATGCGCACGCCATTGATTACGTCTGTAGGGGCCAAAAAGACATTAAAAAGAAAGAATTACTACACAAGTCTTTTTCAAGCTTTTGGGACAATTCTAATACTGCGTACAAACATAAAAACAAGAAAGGTTAAAAGCATCTCGAACCCATCCAACAAAATTTTCATCTAATTGGTTTTTAAATTTGACTAAAAAACTTAATTTGATATGAACTGTTTTAAATCTTTCATCAATTTTTATTTTAAATTCTCTTATTATTCTAAATTTCTCTTTTCATCAAATTTGATGGAAAAAAAATCATTTTCAATGCTTCATCTTTTTAAATTTAAAAATTTAATACATTTTCAATTTGATAAATAAACATAATATTAAAAAAAAAAAAAACTATCCCTTAATTTGATGAAAAATTTTGGATAATTTTATTTTTTTTATCAAATTTAAATTTAATAAAAAAATAACTGAACGATTGAAGATACTTGGGCAAATTACATATACACCCCTCGAGGTTTGGCTAAATTACAGATGCCCCCTGAGGTTTGAGAAATTACGAATTCCCCCCTGAATGCTATATTTGCATAAGAAATTAGGGGGTAATTTGTTATGAAATATAAACCTCAGGGGGCAAATTGTTATGAAAATACAAACCTCAGGGGGCGGGATGTAATTTCCGAAACCTCAGGGAGTATCTGTAATTTAGCCAAACCTCGAGGGGTGTATATGTAATTTGCCCAAGATACTTTAATGGATAATTTTTTAAGATTCCTGATATTAAGATTTTATAAGATAAAGAACATCTAATATTTTCATAAAAGTTAAAGTCTCTCAACATTTTTACAAAAAAAATTTGACTCAAAGAATTTTTACCCAAATTAGAGAAATTTTAATTTGAAATTTCTCTAAGTTAGGAGAAATTTTTTTTAATCGGACAAAATTTTTCTGAATCAAATTTTCTCTATAAAAATATTGAGAGACCTTAACTAATAAAAAAATTATCATAAATCTCTCCTAATGTACAAAATTAGAAAGAGATATTTGTATATATATATATGTATATATATATACAAAAAGTAGAGAAAATAGGCTTAAATTAATAATTTGACTTTTTTTTTAATTGTCAAAATAGACTTAAATTACTAAGGCATAGATTTTAAAAAATGGCGATTAGTCAAAAACTCATAGAAAGAAGGGCTTTTTATTGATAAATGTCATTTAAAAGTGTTCTAATTCAAGAAATTCATGAAGGAATTTTTTAACTCACTTAGTCCCAGGTATTTATACTTTTATTCCATAAAGTTCTTTTTCTTGATTTAACTTATTTTCTTAGACTCTTATGTCCTTATATTTAATGTTGATATTTAATGTTGGGGAAGGAGAGAGAAGGGAAAGGACCAAAATATAGAAAATTTCATACACAAATTAAATAATATTGATGTTATTATTTTATATTATTATATAATGCGAATATATTTTTAATTGACAACACATTAAAAATAATGTGAACATTCTCTCTCATCTGATGTGAACGTTCATAACACCTTTCTGAAAAATTCTCTCTCATCTAATGTAGTGATGTGAACGTTCACAACATGTGAACCTTCTTATTTTTAATTGGCAACACATTAAAATAACGTTCATTACATTTTTAATTGACAACACATTCTTATTCACAACATATAGTGATGTGAACATTCACAACCACAACATATGAACATTCTCTCTCATGTAACATAGTGATGTGAACGTTCACATTCATATGTTTTAATATGAACATTTACATCATGTAATTAACAACACAATGACAAAAATTCATTTCAATGTGAATATAATGATGTAAATATTCATTTCAATTGCATGATGTGAATATTCATATCATGTAATTGACAACATAACGACAAAAATTCATTTCAAATTTTTACGTTTTTAATTGACAACACATTCTTATTCACAACATATAGTGATGTGAACATTCACAACCACAACATATGAACATTCTCTCTCATATAACATAGTGATGTGAACGTTCACATTCATATGTTTTAATATGAACATTTACATCATGTAATTAACAACACAATGACAAAAATTCATTTCAATGTGAATATAATGATGTAAATATTCATTCCAATTGCATGATGTGAATATTCATATCATGTAATTGACAACATAACGACAAAAATTCATTTCAAATTAATATGAATATAATGATAGTCAATATCTTGATGCATGGGAACTACCAAAACATAATGACAATTAACATTAAATATCAACATTAATAGGGATAAGAAAGATTGAGGGTGTTTTAGTCTTCTTACCTCAAATAGGACCTAATGGAATAGTTAAAAACAATAAGAGTTGGATGGAATAAAACTCTTAGTAAGAGAATTTATCAAAAAAGTTCCTTAAAAAGAATATTAAAGATTATTTTCATGATCTCTATATTTTATTTTTTAAAAAATTAAAAATTAGTATCAAATATTTTTTATACTTTCACCTCATACATTAGTAAAAAATATAAAAAAAAATTTAAAAAAAAAAAAGTCACTAAACTAATCACTTTCTAAATGAATTCTAAATAAATGACATAAAATGTTTTTTTTTTTTAAGTGTGTTCCTAATCTTATTCAAATTATAGTTGGTGTGTAGTGCATGGAAATTTATAATTTTGTGTATTAAAAACGCTTGTTATTATAATTTTTTTATGTATTATTGTACAAGTAAGAAATAATGTTCTCGTATAATCCTGTTGATCAAGTCTGCGTTCCTCCAAACGTCATCGCTTTACTCCCTGAAAACACAAACGTGAGATAGCCGGCGGGTGTGTGTCGGATACCTCTCCGATGCCTAAGTCAGCAAAATAGACAAATAGACAAAAGCTCTGTGTATTCGGGAATCAAAGTTGTGTTACCTCTACATAGGTCATGTTGTGAGCTTTTATAGGTTCCGCATAACACAATCCTAGCAGGACTCTTATTCATCCATATAGAGTCCTCCTAAGAATCACACTCCTGAAAGATAATACTTATCCTTCAACACCCCCCTCACTGCTTAAACCAAGTGAGATAGTTTTACCACGGTTGGATGACAGTACGACCGAGCTAACACTAGCCCTTTGTTATACTTAATCCAATGTCTTCACATACAACACATAGCTCGGTTCTCTTTTTACTTGTACCTCGGTTTTGGCCTGTTGAGACCGAGCTAACTATACCAAGTTTCAACCAAGCTAACAAGAGCAAGGTCCTCTGCAGGAAGCCCAAATACCTCATCTCCGAATACTATGACCGAGCTAATCACCACTCCGACCGTGGTGACTGTAACCATATTTGGACCGAGCTAACTATAAGGTCCTTTCACTCAGCCCTTTTTATCGCGGCCCACAGAGCGGCCCATTACCCGCCTTGGCCTAGCTCGACCCTAATGCACATAAAAACTCCCTCTCAATTGCCCTTAATTCCATCTACGTAGCATGATTAGGATTACCTGTTACCAGCCGAGCTAAAACTTAAGACTTTCAACCGAACTAAATTGTCATCGTGCTACCGATTTGTCCGGTCAAAAAACGTCTCTTCAGTCACGATGTGCTTCTGAATCGCTTGTTATTCCCATAGACACGTGGCTGGCCCCTATTGGTTAAGTACAACTGTCGACGCCGACTTCGTACCTCGCGAATTTTGAACAGTCCCGCCTTTTCACACGCTTTATACAAAAAACCCTACGTTTTGAATCAACCATTTCTACTATTCATCTCCTCTCTCTCCTTTCCTCTGAGCCTTCATTCTTGTAAACACAGCACCTGCGAATCTCTTCCTTGCGATCTCGATCTTTATTCTCTCGTCTTCAAACTGTAAGTAACTCAATCACATTTCCTTTTTGTTTGTCTAGTTTCTGTAGTATGTAGCATACTATTCATATGTTTCTCAAAACACACTATTTTAGCTTCCATTTTTCTGGGAAAAAACCATGTAGTAGAACCACTAAATTCACGAACAATCTGATAAACGACGCTTTTGATCCAAAATAATACTCCAACCGAACTAGGATCTTGT